TTCTCACCCAAGCTTTGTCACGAAGGTGTTTGGTTTTTTTTTTCTTTTCTTTCTCAAGGTTGGTTATGGGAAGCTGTTTCTGCATGCGAAAAGGGGAAGGAAAAAAAAAAAAAGGAGTCCCAGGGCAACTGGCTTTAGATTTTGGGCTCCTGCCGACGGCAAGGGTGTGCTTTCTGCAGCCTGTAGGGTTCTAAGGAGCGGTTTTTTCCCCATCCTTAACAGAGTCGGAAGGTATCTTGAAGGTCATCTAGTCCAACCCTCCCATCCAAGCAGGAAACCCTATCATTTCACAGATTAATAAGAGTTGGAAGGGACCTTGTAGGTCATCTAGTCCAACCCCCCCATCCAAGCAGGAGACCCTACACCATTTCACAGATTAACAGAGTTGGAAGGGACCTTGTAGGTCATCTAGTCCAACACTACTGTCCAAGCGGGAGACCCTCCACCATTTCTGACAAATGGCAGTCCAGTCTCTTCTTGAAAACCTCCGGTGATGAAGCTCCCACAACGTCCGAGGGCAACGTCTGTTTCACTGCTTAATTTCTCTCACTGCCAGTGCAGGCACAGTCCTGCTGAAATCTGGTCTTCACGGGTATTTTCCCAGGAAGGAAAAAAAAAAACTTTAATAATTTCAACTGGAAAAGGACTTTTGGTCGGAGGGCATCTCCTGAAGCCCTGCTCTAGATAACGTGTTTCTGCAACCTCACAACTTGACAATACGTGGGCTCCCAACTCCCACAATGCCCCAAGGAGCACATCTTCAAGCTGCCACGTTTGAGAAACAGCGCTCGAAGTGAATCGCGTAGTTTTCCTTGAGGTGAAAACTTTTCATTGTTGAATGAAAAGAAGGACTAGAGGCGACAAGATAGCAGTGTTCCAATATCTCAAGGGGTTGCCCCAAAGAAGAGGGAGTCAAGCTATTCTCCAAAGCACCTGAAGGCAGGACAAGAAGCAATGGGTGGAAACTAATCCAGGAGAGAAGCAACTTAGAACTAAGGAGAAATTTCCTGACAGTCGGAACAATTAACCAGTGGAACAACTTCCCTCCAGAAGTTGTAAACGCTCCAACACTGGAGGCTTTCAAGAAGAGATTTGATAACCATTGGTTTGAAGTGGTGTAGGGTTTCCTGCCTAGGCAGGGGGTTGGACTAGAAGACCTCCAAGGTTCCTTCCAACTCTGTTATTCTCTTCTATTCTACTAGAAGGGGCTCTGGGTCAGCCCTCTTCAACCTGGGAGGCCATCTGTCATGCCCTTGGTAGAGTCGGACTCTGAGGGAGAGGAGGAGCAGCCAACAGGGAGTGGAGGTGTGGCTCCGGAGGTTGTGGAGCAGGCTGGGGAAGGGCACAGGCTGACTGCGCAGTCAGAGGAAGAACTAGGTCCACACCCCCCTACATCCTAAGACATGCAGGGAGGAATGAAGAAGGAAACAACTTGGCTTACGAGAGAGGAAGCGGCCATGATCCCCCTCATTAGTTGCAACTGGGGAGAATAGTATATAAGAGAGACGGTTACAACACAGCGTTGCCAAAAGCAAAGCGTGTGTTATTTTGGGCTGAAGTTATCTTGGTTGGCATCCTTCCAACAGACTGTGCCTTGTTATCTCCTTAAATTTGATAATTATTTATCCTGGTCCATTGTGGAAATTTCTTCACTGTAGTTTGTTTGGGTTTTTTTATTTCACCGCTATCTGCTCATTAAGTTCGGACTGTATTGCTTTCTTTTGAAGACTATTTTTTGAGTAAGTTTTATCTCCAACTGAGTATTATTGAACAGTGGGGCCAGGCTGGAGGCATTAAAGCAGGGATCCCCAACCTTTTCGACGCCGCGGCCCGGTTCCGGCGTCAGCTGGGCGCCGCCATCTTTTTTTGACGAAAAATCACTTCCGGTGACGTCACCGGAAGTGATTTTTCATCAAAAAAAATGGCGGCGCCCAGCAACCAGCGGCCCGGTAAGGCTTGTTCCGCGGACCGGTACCGGTCCGCGGACCGGCGGTTGGGGACCCCTGCATTAAAGGACATTTATTTACGTTTTTGGATTTTGTTACGTTTGTGTTACACACTCTCAAAAACTGGCACCTGATCCTGAGCTTTGGGGACAGTGCTGTGCTCTAACCACTCACTGGATCAAACAGGGATTTCCTCCTGTCCACCCAGAGCCCAAGTGTCCAGCCAATGGAGATCTCTAGTGGAGTGAACCTCCATGCCCCATTGACTTTGTCCCTTTTCTCTGTGTTTGCAGTGGAGGACATAGTGAATGTCGGCCAAGTCGCTTTGCACGCAACCCTGGGCAATCGTTAACATGGAGACAAGGCCAGATGTTACAAAAGGCTGGTTGGGCAACCCCAGGGATATTGACATCTTGTGATCTGGCAAAGTGGGGGGGGGGGGGCGAGAGAGGTTGGCACGAGCCTTTTTTAGCTCCCAGCCTGGGGCTTCCAAGATGATTCTGCTTCCTTGGCTTTGTTTATTCGTATCGGAAGCATCACAATTAAAATAAGGCAAGGAGGAAGAGGAAGAGGAGGAAGGGGAAGAGGAAGAGGAGGCTCAAAATTGACTCAGCCTTCCATCCTTGTGAGGTCGGTAAAACAAGGACCTAGATTGTTGGGGCCAAGAGGCCAACTATTTAGAGGGGGCTGTAAAGCATTGTGAAGCAGTATATAAGTGTAAGTGCTATTGCTATCTTCCTTCCTTCCTTCCTTCCTTCCTTCCTTCCTTCCTTCCTTCCTTCCTTCC